TTAGAACAAATTCTTGTAGTTCAAGCAGCTCTAGAACCACTATAAGTCATTTACCCAAAATAGTAAATGAAGAACAATTTGAGTATAATTCTAATAATGATAATGAGCAATTAGATTTTAGAGACTGGAATATACCTAAAGTACCTAGTCAAAATATATATAGGAAAAAATGGTCTTTATCTGCATTTAATTCAACTACACATGTTAAGACAGTAGAACAAGTTTATGCCCTAAGTAAAGAACATGAGTCTTGTCAATTACTTAATTTGGATGCAATTAAAAAACATAAGCATGATGGTAATAATTTCTTGCATATAGGCCTTGTCCAAGTTGCTGCTAAGCCGTTAACTATATTAGGATTACAAGCTTCTATTTTATTATGTTTACGAGATGCCAGATTCACTGTATTTAATGATAGTGTGCTTGGTATGATTGAATCCAGTCTATGTAATGGTCCAGTACATTTTGATTGCTACCCTGATTTTACAGTTAGTTTGAATGATCCCCATATTCTTAAAACTCTAACCTTGAATATTAAGACTTCTGGCTATAATGTTCTTCCTGGCACCCAACCTTTAGCTTTAGTATACAGGATATATTACAAAGTCACAGGAACAAATATGAATTTTCAAGCTTTAAATAAGAGTCCTAGAGATCAGACACTATTAATACAAAGTTGTACACCTGATGCTAATATAAGAATTCCTCATACGGTTAAATGGTCAAAGATTAGTTTACCTAGAGATTGGACTTTAGTTACTGAATCTCAACCTGCTCCTATTCAGCATAGTCTAAATAATTTAGATTATATACAACAATATTTAGATGGCACTGTCAAGATTAATTTTGATAACCAACCTAAATCCACGGTTCAATTACAACAATTACCTACACCAAGCCCATCTAAGAGACATGAGCCAGCTAGACATTCATCTGCCACATCTTCTTCTATTCAAGAAAGAGATTTAGAAATAGAAAGAGCCTTAATTGATCTAAAATTAGAATCTCTAAGAAAAAAGGCCCAAGTAAGCCATCCTTGCTACGGCAATACTCCACCTACAAATGAGCCAAAACCAGAATCCCCCCTACTTCACCTACCCAAACTGATTTCTTAGCTAGCGAAATAGCTGCAGCTCACATGTATGACATAGATAAACAATTGAGCGTCCTTAAAAAAGTTGAGTCATTTAAAATTAATTGGAAAAATCTAGATAGGCATCTTTATGACCCTAACAATAAATCTAGAAGAGATATATATCACCAAATTATCCCTGATAGAAATATAAGACAAGAAATATTTAATGAGTGGAAAAGTTATATGCGATCTAAGAAACAAGAAATCTATTATCTTGATTTTGTAGAAAGCCATTATATATCCAATAAATTAAAAACTTTGACTACAGAAAAATGGGTAAAGTTAGGTCAATCTAAAGTTATTTCTAGTCACCCTCCTGCAGAAACTATTGTATTTAAACATGGAACAAGAACTGTTGTTGCAAGCCCTTTTAAGATTGCTGACCAAGCAGATGAGCCTAACAAACGTTTGGTTGAACAAAATAATTATACAAATCAAAGTCTGATCACTATAGGAAAACAACTAGATAAAATTGAAACTAAAATTGATAAATCTTTACCGTCCGAATCTAAGCTTAAATCTACAGATAAGCCCCTAATCCAGTTCCAAGATTTGCAACCTAAGTTCTCCCTTAAGACATCCTCTACAATGAAAAAGATAGAAGAAATGCTTGAGCACTTAACCATCGCTAAACCTGAGAAATCCGGTCTTAGAGTCATAGGATCTTCTTTTCCTTTAGATACCCAGTCAGGAACCGATTCTGAGTCAAATACAGAGTCTATAGAGTCAAGCAATATCTCAAAAATTGAAAATGCATTCAAAAACCTAGAATTAGAATCTGAGTTAAAAGTAAAAAGATTAACTAATCCTGTTAGCTTAACAAAAAATTGGTATCCAAAGCCTACGCCACCTGACATTCAATTTGAAGAACGAAATAATTTGAGTCTATTTTCTGTTTCTTCTGATAAGTTATATGAATGGAATATAGATGGTTTATCTGAACAAGAAATTATGAATAAATTAACTCACATGTCTATGGTAGCTAATAGCTATATTACTAATCATAATTTAAGACAATCTGAGATAATCCCTTTACTAGAAACAGGTTTTACAGGAACCCTCCGTTCTTGGTGGGATAAACATCTAACTAATGAATCTCGAAATGATATTATCCATGCAGTAAAGCTTAATGAAGAAGGTATTCCTCTGTTTGATGAAAATATAGGTCGAGGTATAGAAGATGGAGTCAATACCCTCCTTTATACAATAGTTGAGCATTTTATAGGAACACCAAGTCATACTCAGTCTAGAATACATGACCAACTAAGCAATTTAAGATGTCCTCAATTAAGCGATTTTAGATGGTATAAAGATGTCTTTATTTCCCGAGTAATGATAAGAGAAGATAGTAACCAAGCCTTCTGGAAAGAAAAATTTATTAATGGATTGCCTAATCTATTTGCCCATAAGATCAGAACTGTCTTAAGCAATGAGTTAGGACACATAGATTATGATAATCTGACATATGGTAATATAATTAGCACAATTAACCAAGAAGGTATGAAAATGTGTATTGATATGAAAATTAATAAACAAATACAGTCTGAAAGACAATCAGCAAAATATGAGTTAGGTAATTTTTGCGAGCAATATGGTTTATTTACTCCTCCTTCTCGACAAAATAAATATAAGTCTCCCAGTCATCTTCGTAAGAAACGATACTATAAGCGTAAAAAACAATCTTATAATAATGAATTTTATAAGAAAAGAAAGTTTCACCCTAAGAAAAGTTGGTCAAAAAAGCCAAAGGATAAGAACTTTAAGAAAAATACCGACAAAAGTAAAGTAAAATGTTATAAATGTCAAAAGTTCGGTCACTATGCTAATAAATGTAAAGTAAAAGATACTATCCGACAATTACAGATCACCGACGAAGAAAAAGCTAAATTAATTAAAGTTCTTGAGTTAAGAAATTCTGAGTCCAGTGATGATATAACTATGGTTAGCAACTCTGAGTCTTCCGACTACGAGTCTTCTGATTCCCACATAAGTTCGCCAAACATACAAATAGGATGTAAAGATAAATGTTGTAATACTCTTAAGTCTATTTCTGTTTTAACTAAGCAAGAAGAGCAAGAAGAATTATTGATTGATTTAATTAGTAAGATAGAACACCCTGAGCTGAAAGCAGAATATCTAAGGAAACTAAGAAAAATCATAGCCCAAGAAAATATAGTTCAGCCCTCTTCTTCCACTATAAGTTTAAATACTACTCTAGAAAGGTTTCGTAAGAAAAAAGAAATTTCTTTGCATGATTTACATACTGAGGTGAAGTCTGTAAAAAAGGAAATAGTTGAACTAAAGCAATTAAGTTATAGGTTACAAACTGAGAATTATGACATCCGACAAAGCTTGAATTCCCTACTAGAGAAAAACTCGTCTAAAACTGATAGTCAACCAAGTAGTCCAACCCATTCTGAAGAAAATGAGAAAACTGATCACGCCATTAATTTAATTAATCATGTCTCTTTTAGGAAATGGTATTCCAAAATCACTATAATTATTAAGGATTTTGAAATTAATACTATTGCTTTATTTGATTCCGAAGCCGATCTTAATTGTATAAGAGAAGGATTAATTCCCACTAAATACTACACAAAATCTACAGAATCCCTGAGTACTGCTTCTGGAAAAATGTTACATTTAAATTATGAGATTCCGAAAGCCCATGTTTGTCAAAATAAGGTCTGTTTTAAAACCTCGTTTGTTTTAGTTAAAAATATAACTGATAAAGTCATTCTAGGTTTACCTTTCATAAGCCTTCTGTATCCTCTTCAAGTTGAATTTGATGGAGTTGTATCAAGCCCTTTAGGAGAAAAAGTTAAGTTTGAATTTCTATACCTTGATATATATATATATATATATATATATATTAATATTGGGAGAAAAGAAATCCTTAAAGTTTCGAACCTGAGTCAAGCAGGGAAGAGGCCGATGCTCTAAATGGTTTATAAAAGACAAATTTTGGAGTTGCTTGGTGCTGTATGCCCCATGGGCCGCTTAGTTTTGTCATAGCCTAGGAATAAGTTCGAGAAACTCTGCGCCTTCTCCCCGTATTCTGCTATATAATAGTGAGCCCGGTTTTTCAAATGGTAGAAAATTAAGGGCGAAAATTTCAGTTCTGTATACCCAAAACGAAAAACAAAAAACGCCAGTACTGAGGGAGGCCAATTCTTTTTCTCTGTAAGTAACGTAAATCAACTTTAAAAATGTTTTGTGATTTGGCGGGTGTCCAAGATCCTTTCAATGACCTATGTCGTGTTGAAGGGATATCTATATGATCCGATCGATTGCGAAAAGTCTGTAAAGTCCGCAGTAGCCAAAGAACCGGGAAAAGTAAACAGAAAAGAGAGTTCTTTTCTATGATCCGATCCGCAAGTACCATGTTTGCAGATCCATGATTGGGAATTGTTTGATCGCCTGTTTTATGATGTTAATAAAATTGATTTATTAAAACTGGGGCCTATGCATCTGAACCAATTTTGTTTGGAATTGTGGAGTTGTTGATTTGTCATTCCCTTTGACATCCTTTGTGCAAGAAAAAAAAACCATCCAAATTCTACCACATTAAAAGGAAATGCAAAACAGAACAGAAATATGAAAAAACCAATATGGCAAATTTCTCTTTAATTCTATCTATTTAGTGAGGCAGCATTTAATCTCATTTCTTTGGGCCCAAGTTATAAAACTTTGGCACTCAGCTTCATCAAAAAGACAACAAGAAGAAGAAGAAAATCCCTTTTTTGGATACAAACAGGGGAAAGAAAAAGAAAAAGAAGCGAAAAGGATCAAAGAGTAATGAAATGAAGTCATGTAATTCATGGAAAATGGGATTACATCCATCCACAGACTCAAAATCTAAAATCTAAAACCTAGTAGTGTTAGGACCCCAGCAGTTCAACTCCATGACTTTCCTCACCTTCTCCTCCTGTGACCTCTGCATCTTGTTAGAAATTGCTGAAGAAGAAGACCCAGAGAGTTTCTTGGCCTGGGAATATGATCTCATGTTGTTCTTGGCATGCTGTTGCAGTGACCTCAAAACCCCATTCCATCTGCAAATTCCTTGGTCTTTCAGAGCCTCAACAGCTCCAATACTTGCTGCCACAATCCAAGCCCTGCAAGCTGCATTCACCATTTTTGCAGATTTTTTTTTCTTTTCTTCTGGTATCTGATTTTGAAGAAGATCTTTTATGGGTAACAGGTGGATGGGTGAAAGATGAAAGCTTTGAAAGGGGGAGTATAAATTGAAAGTCTGAATCTGTGGTTTCTTGGTTTTTGGTTGTGGGTCGAAAGGTTGGACCATTCTCTATATATAGGCAGCTAATATAAGAAGAAAAAAAAGAGTGAAAATCAAAGCACTGGCACCAATTGTTTAGGACAAAATCTGTGGTAATAGGTTTAGCAAAACCATGTGCTGAGCTCTTGTTTTTGGGTCAGGCCCAAAAAAAAAGGTTTTTTAGGTTTTAAACATTAAAAAAATTTCACTTTTTGAAAAAGCCAAAGCTTTTTTGAAAAAGACAAAAAAACCGCTCAACTTTCAAATCAAAGACATGCAAATGTATTGGATTCCTTAGGAAATCTAAAAATAAATAAGGGCATTTTTGTCCATTTTTGCTTCTTTTAAAATTTTTCTCTTTCCTTTTGCTTTTTCCAAAATGTCCCAAAAAAAAAGGGGCTCTTCTTTCTGGGAGCCATAACCCACGCGCTTTCCTCTTTTTTTATTATTTTTTATTTTTTTGGGATTTTTTTTTTCCTTCAAAAGGAATAAAATTTTCATTGAGCAAAAGAATAGTCACAACCAAGGAAGAGGGGGAGTGGGGAAATACACCAACATGGAAAGAAGCAAAAGAATGGCCTCAATGTCATGAATTATATTGCTTTTCGAAGAAACTTGATATTTTGGGGTTACAAAATAGCAAAGGCTTCCCACACCTTCCATTCACTTTCATATCCCACAAACAGACATCAATGAGGAATGAATCATGCTCCTATCCCATTATCCCTCAATTGCGCTCCTTTATATGGAGAAGGACTCAAATGTCACGGGGATAATATTGTTTTATTATCATCATTCAATCACGTTTCATCATGCAGAATTCTTATCACGCGTGACAGAATATAATCGGTTGAGAATAACAAAACAATATTATTCTCGTGGTATACAAGTTTTTCTCTCTTGACTTTCTTTTTCTTCCTTGTTTTACTTAGAATTGCAATTTATTTAGAAGGATAAGGAAGTTGCCAATAACTCTCTGCCCAAAAAAATAGGCAATAATTGGATTGTTTTGTTTGAAGAATTGAGAATAGAAACTAATGTAGATGGTCGACATTCACTGAAACAAAAAAACCAAGCTGACCCATAGTCTTTTGGTGCAAGCATCTCAGATTCTCGATATAAATTAAACATGGGGAATTATGCTGTATTTAATAGTTATAAAATGGGGCTTTGAAACTCCAACTTTGTGTTTGGATGAGGGAAATAAACTTGGGATTTTGATAAAAGTCAAAACTGCTATAAATTGAAATGAACCAATTCCCATGTTTGAATAAAAAAACATAGAAATTTAGAAATTCCGCGTGGGAAAAACCATGGAATTAGAGGTCAAAAATCTCAACTTTAAATTCTAGCTAAAAGTTGTCATTTCTAAAATTCCAAGAGAAATTGAGTTTTTAAAAAAGATAACTTTACAAATAAAGGTTAAATTCTGTATTTAAATCCGTTATCCAAACAAGAAACTTTACAAATTCTATAACATTAATTTTCATTATTTTAAATTTCATCATTTATGACCTGATAAGTAGGCTTTGCATTCTCATTCATATTTCCCCAGTTTACCTTTTCAATAACCTGAAGTACGAGCATGCTGTGTTTTATTTTCACTTGAGTTGCACGCAATTTCTCCAAGTGCATTTCGCGACTAGAAGACTTAGTCTTTGTATTGATAGTGAACTAGCCACATGATGTCACAGTTGATGCTTATGTATAAATTATCACGGTCACCGGTTAATTAAAAATTGTTACATAATGTAGTCAATTAGCATGATCTTGAGTCATGACTAGCATACCTCGGTAACACTGGATAGGATTTACCATCCATGGCTACTGCGACCACACTCGGTGAGGACAAGATGTGATGAGTTTGCATACTGAGGTCAGTTCTAAACCGATGAAATTCCAAAGTGGCTTGGGAAATTGTACATAGCTCCAGTTTTGAATTGGTCTCGGGCTGAGATTAGTGAGATGTATTAAAAATACCAGCCTCACAGAAAAGAAAAGATATATTGAATCAGTAGAGCTCTGTTTTTATAACTATAACTACCAGAGTTAGCTGCACAAGCTAGGGATTTACAATGCAGATAATAATTGAATCAAGCAAACACCCTATACAATCGAGCGATTTCAGGTAAAGAATTGGATTTGGAATCTACCAGATTTGCCAGATTTATACATGCGCAATCGCAAAATAACCAATCACTAATCAATGACAAGAAAATGTATTTGTACATTGTCAGGATGGTGATCTTTCAAATTGAGGCCCGGGCAGATTTTGTTGGACAAAAACTACTGTGATTTATGTGAAAAAAATCCCAATGCAGGGTGATGATATGAGGAATAGGCTTAAGTAAGTTGAGCTATGTCAACGCCGTCTGGAATTTTGAATGTGTCTGATGCACCAAACTTCCTTTTCTCTTCCGTATCTTCTGCATCTTCATATTCTTCGTCATTACTGTCATCATCCTCATCGTGGGAATTAACTGGAGACATGGGGTCATTTACACTTTTGGATCGATTTAATGGTGTGGCAAGCATGTTCACTTGGCCAAAGTGAGAAATCTCTACAACCACTGTGTCATTGTCTGCTGGAAGAGGTTGTTTCCATGGCTCCCCATCAATTCTCATGAATGTATGCTCAGTTGCACCCTTGCAAAACTCGAAACGTATTCTGCTTGCCTACAATGAAGTATAAAGGTTGAACAATTAATCTATTTCACAGAGCGAGTGAGAGATGAAAGTACTTATATATGAGATGCTCCAAAATAAGGTTTGATCCATGATCAGTTGAAAACTAGTTTGATTCTGTTTATATTGAGATGACAGCATTAAATGATCTAAGGATAGTATATGATACCTGTGCAAGACGAGTCCCATGTCCCTTAGGAGCAAGTAAGATAAGCCCATGCCAGGCATCTCTAAAACCAACAATCTCGATGAGGCCATCATCCACATATGGAGGAGTTAAATCCCTCTGTGAAGCACATATTATTGGAATTACAAACAGTTGGCAAGATAGATTTTTGCATTTTAACTGGAACTTAGGAAAAAGCCAATCTGTCTGAAACAGATAGGAGAGCAATCAGAAATTACATATTGCACTTTCTTCGTATTTGGTTTCGCCCATGGGTCAAGACCACCAGAAAAACTGGGTAAGTTGAGGCACACAATAGACCTAATGCTGTAAATCAGAGATAATATATAATAAAAAAATTAAGTGATGAAAAGGCTACAAATGTTGATTGCAAACATAAGAAAGGATGGAAAGTGGAAAAAATGAAAGCTTTGTCTAGTCAGTTAATTCAACTGATTAATGTTTAATACATTATCTGAAATACATGTCATTCTAATTTGCCAGGGCCTCATTGTATAATTTCTTTAATTTAAGCATGCAAAATGGAATGCCACATATTGTAATCTGGAAGAAAAAATAGGTGAAACGACTTTTTGGGGCAAGTGGCTTTAGAGATTAAGAGAACCATAACAGTTACAAAAAGTTAAACAGAAAGTTTATATCACCTGCGAGGTATGAGGAGGTCTTCCCATTGACCTTGTCGTTTCATGATCTTAATCTTTGTCTGATGTGCTATGTTCCTGTGTTGAAATCAAGGCATTACCACTAATATAAACAACCAAACAAAAGGCTAACTTGAAGAATGGTTGATAACATAGATCTTAAGATGTGCAAATACATTCACCCCATTTCCTGATTTCAGAACATTGCAGAAATAAAGTGAACAAGAAGTTTGGCTCCGTTTTTTTGGACTGTCTGATAAAAAATTGGGTTATAGAAAAGCACCTATTAAAAAAAGCACAAAACTGTGAAGAAGACTAACCGTGAAGAAGGATGCGATAGAGAAGCACAAAACCATCCTTGTGTACATCCAAGCTTCAAGTAAGTACCCTGAACCAATTAAAAAAGCAAAACAATGATAATTAGTAGCGAATTTATTTATGACGGGAAAACAAGAAGTTAGACCCTTGGCAAAACAAATGGAAACACCTAGACACCAAAACAATGAAAACACCTATTAGGCATCCATCATTCGAGATGGATGGTTGGTAGACTTCAAAAAAGAATCGTTACACATATGTAGACATTATTATACTACTTATCTACTTTAGAGCATGATGTTAAAGATGCAGAATCATTTAGTACTTGATTAACTAACTGGTTTTTAAATTTTTCTGCATGCAACTTCCTCTGTGCGTGAAAATCATATGATATTTGAGCATCCATTCCTGTATAAAACAAAATACATTTGTCAGAAAACCTGGAAACTGCTGTCATGCAATAGTTCTTGCAACTAGTTACTGAACGAAACCAATATTTACTTCTAAATTTTTGGAAGGGCTAGGCAACATTAACTTATAACATCAATACAACAGGGGACTTAACCTAATTACACTGCACACCAATGGTTAATATCTTCAAAATGTTTCTAATATGAATAACTACCATGATTACTCTCTCTCCATCCCATGCCATAATAAGCTTGATTCATCCATAGATGATAGACTGAGATTTATGCAAGAAGGCATTTATCTGATTATATACCCAAAAACTTCTATCACCCAACACCGCAGGCAGTAGTGAACAAAAGAAGTGAGCTTCAAAACATCAAATAGGAGACTTTCCCATCACAAATATTGACACTTTAAGAATGTTTATGAAATATGTCTACATATAGAGACGCTTCAAATGAGAACAATACTATACTCATATAATTCCACTTTTCCTTTATCTGCGCACATTATATATAGAACTTCAAAATAAACTAAAATTTTCTCCTCAAATCCCTTCCTAACAACAATAACGGGTAGGATGGTTGTCCTCCACCACAAGGCCCCTAAAGGTTATGTGCACAAATCATAGGCACAAGCACACAAACAGAACACTTAGATTTCTTAATTAAAAACATTCTTGACTTCTTACCCATGCTGAAGTAGTTCCAAAACCCCCCACGAAAGGTCTGGTAACCCTCCTGAGAACAGCCAACATTTTAGTGGTAATAAGTTTGCAAAAGCAAGCTGTGTTACGATGAAGCAAAAAATAAAATGATACATAAATTGAGTAATCACTTATCAGATTGGCACTTGACCAGGAAACAGGAAACACACCATATTGAGTGTATCAGTTTGGGAGACTTGATGAAATGCATGCAAAGAATGGGGTAGTTCTAGAGGTGCAATAGGATCACAAGAACCTTCCGTTGGAGACCTCATTCTCATTATTATGTGCCAGCTGAGATACATAAAAATTAAAAATTAAAAAAAATTAAAAATTAAAAAATTAAAAAAATTAAAAATTAAAAAAAATCAAATAAACTATGTCTCAACTCCACCTTGAAGAGTATTGATTCGCTGAGCAGTAACGAAACCCGCAAGGAGATTTTAAATGTGTATATTTTTTAAGATCAGACAGTCAAAATTAAAAATATAGTTGATGTCACCTGTCAATGTTCATTTCCTTCGCAGTCTTCACTTGATTCAAGAAAGTCAGCACAGATTGACGGTCGGTGAAAGGATTTTTCTTTCCCTGTGGATTAAAACTCTGATCAGCTAACAAATCTACTGTAAGTTGAGTCAATGCAAGAAGACAAATGTTTGCCACAAAAACACTTAGCATATGCTAGTTTATTCAAGGCTGCCTCTGAGATACATGAGGCCCTGTGCATAAATTAAAAAAAAATTCCTTCTTAGTAATACACGTATGCCATGATTTAACACCAAAACATCCCAACTTAATTCCAGCTAAACTGTTGTCAACCAAAGCAAAATTTATATCTAGCTACATATTAAAGTTTTATTTAAAACTGTGCGATAGGAGAGGCAAGATTCTGAATGATTTATGAGGCACTCTAGTTCAGGTCCTTTGGGAATAGGATGGAGTAGGCAGTTCCGGCAGAGACGAGAAGATTATTTGGGGATGGTGTGAATGACCATGTGTTTTGGTGGAGGCTACAGGCCAGGTTTCCATTGGAATGCACAGAGTTTCCTTTTATGTGGGGACAGTTTCTTGTTTGATTTCTAAATCTCAGCTTTTTTGCAACAATAGCTTATGAAAACTTCACAATGGTCTTGCCTAAAAAGAATGCTGCTTACATATATCATGTGTACATTAGTGATACAATGAATGCAGCTTTAATTTACTAGAAAATACCTCACAATACCAAATAGATGACATGGTTATAGCCTTTTCACTAGATACTTTTCAAATGCAAAGATGTTACTTCTTCCAATGCCAAAACTAAAATAGCTAAATATTAAGAATATGCAGGAACCTGCACCATTAAATACAGTAGTTCATATACTACAGAGTGCTCTGACTACATGATCAAGGCAAGTGAGATCAACAACGAACGAAGAAAACCAAACAGGAGTGTGAAAATCAAACAATGAATGACCAACAAGAGATTAACGTAGATTCAAACACACAAGGCTGGCAAACAGAACATTACCCAACCAAAAGCGAAATGGATATTGTTTCCAGTTCCCAATGGCACTGGGGCAATTGGAGGTGGGTGAGGTAGTTTAAGATCAAAACTACACTGAGGAGCCAGCCAACTGTACCATCTCCACCTGCAACCTATCACAGCAAGTGTCTATCAATTCATAGATAATAAAATGAAATCATGGTCATTTTGTACACGCAACTTTCAATATATACAAGCTCAACTCACGATTATTCTCAACCTCTTCTGGATTTCAGCAGCCAAAACATCTCCACTGCTCTTGAGTGTTTCTAAAGTTACATAAAGGGTGTGTAGCACCTTTTCAGGAGCCTTTTCTCCCAAGTCAATAACCTGAAAATAAAAACGATCCGAATCAACCATCCCAAGATTCCCGTTACCTCAAACTCAAAAGAAATGTAAACCTACAAAGCGAAAATACAAGTAGCTGCAGAGCCTATAAGTAACCTGGTTCTCATTGAGAAGAGATCGATACGTAAGAAGGAGTTCACCTCCAATCTGACCACCACTTTTGGCATTAACAAACACCATGACTGGACATGAAGGCACAATTTTAAATTTCGGCATATCCGATCCACTCACAAGCATGTAATTCGGAATGTAAAAGTCCCTCAACTTATCCTCGGATTTCATATCACCCACCATTACATCCCAACTGAAGTGTTCATAATCATGTCAGAATTCTATTCCATTCCATAAACAAATTTCAAAACAGCAAACAACGTCATTAAATAACGACAAAAATAATAATTATCTAGTTTGTGCAAATGCAAATTTTCAAAAGTTTCAACCTCTTGGCAAGAAAACTGTGAATATGAGATGCCAAGCGATTCCCAGAACGAACGGAAATCCGGTTCAGAAATTCCATAACCGGGTCCAAAAACCACAGGGTTTCAAACGTCAAGAAATGGTGTTTAAAATTGTCCTCCAGTTTTCCCAGCAACCAACCAGGTTGTTGTTGTGGAATGGAATGTGGATAACAAAAGGAAATAAATGGTTGTACGGAATCGCGTCTTTTTGTACTTTACCTGGGAAAGAAGAAGTTGCAGATAAATTTCCAAGCCAAGAGATTGAAGACAAAAAATCCACTGTTCGGATGGCAAGCAATGCTCTGATTCTGATTCCGAGAAAGGAATCAGAGCATTGCGGGTACGGAGAGAGGGAAGGAATTAGAATCTTGCATGATTTTGGTCTTCCCTATTATAAAATTCAAATTGAGAAAATTGCGGATATGGATTTAGAATTAGGGATTTTATTTTTTTAATTTTAGGTGAGAAAGCACTGAGTTCATATAATATTGGGAGAGAGAATGATTTGATTTGAACTCGTCACAATTTAAGAAGGTGTATGCTTGTTTTTGGGATCTTGGCTACACGCCACGCCATCGGATTTCAAATTAGGAAGTGGAGAGGTTATCTTGTGGGGTAGGATCTATTGTCCTGTAATGTCTTGCCGGATTTGAATTTGCCACGTGAATTGAGGAACCTACCTCGGACTGTGTGGGGTAAGTGGGTTCCACATTGGATATGAAACGTTGAGTGACGTGGCTAGTCAGGCCTTACTATTTGGGCCTACTGGGCTGAGGCGAAGCATAAAACAACATAGACAACCACAAAAGGAATAAGCCCAAATTCGAGAGATTATAATCCATAATTTTCATATGCTTTTTATTTAGCCAATGAAGTCTCTCATGCACATCTTACCATGCAGATTCAGCCGATCGACCGGCAACCCACAATGTGCACGGAATTCACATACTCTTAATCACTTGAGTTACGAACTTCATAAGAAGCGCACGAGAGAATTTGTGTTTAGTTTTTTAGAAATTAAAGAATCGTGTATATATATGCTCCTTGATTACTCTCCATGTGTATGTCATACAAAACAAATTCAGAGACAATTAGTGGTACAGAACTTATGCAGGATTTTAATATTATGGATGGGGTATCAATTATTTAAATAATAAATAATTTTTTATCAAGTACTTTTCGACTTGCTTTGACATGTGTACAGTACTTGATCAAAAATTATTTATTATATGAAAATAATTCATGGCTTGCAAATTTTTAGCTTTATGAATAATGTTGTGGGTGAAGCATATGATCTAATCTGGATTGCAGATTCCAAACAAAATGTGCATATACAACTAGCTTGAATTATTTGTACTCGATGAAAAGTGAGTTATTAATTATATATGTTTTTATTAGGCTCTTTGTAGTACTAAGAGTGACATACTTGCATTCAAAACAATATTGTGGCTACACAGATTAGGCATAAACATACATGCTAGAGTAATAAGTCGGCCAAGTATGCTAGTGTATTAAGTCGGCCATTTGTTACATATTTCTAATCTTGTATGCTAAATTGCATTCATTAGATATGAAATATACATACAATCCAATAACTGATAGGCCTTCTTCGATTTAAGTATATACCTGAATCTTAATTAGGATATTTTCTTTATAGTTTAGGTTCATTGATATGCTTTCACTACTTTAGTTAATTTAATGATGGGGTACATATAATTAATTCATTCCTACATATCTATATCTATATATATAAAGCAAAAGACAGAGAATGGTAAAACATTCAAAATATTAGAGAATGCTCTTGGTTAATGAAAACATTAAGAATTGAAATTATTAATTAAATGAGGATAATATGATAAATTCACACTTTTTCATATTAAAAAAATTAAAAGAAAAGGAAAAATCAGAAAATTGATCCTATTTTTATGGAACACAACTACCCATTATCTTTTTTAATTCTAAAATAAATTTAAATCTTTTTTTAAAAAGTCTCTCGCAGGCGTGGAAGTGCGTATGAAGAGGCTAGTATTTAATTCTGAAAATGGCAAGTCTTTGCAAATACCACCCCTAAACTTTCGTTTCCACCTACATTGAAGCTTTTGGCATTCAATTTATGCTGGTTTCACTCCGTATGGATTCAAAAAACATTTAATTCATAAAATAATTTTCTCATAATTGAAATTATTTTTAAAATATATTCAAAAATTGAAAATCATTTTAAAGTCCAAATAATCATTTAAGATAAGTAAATATAATTAATTAGTATTTAATAAGTAATTTATGAAATTAATTAAAACACTTAATTATTAATTGATTAAAACATAAAAAATAATTAGTATAATTAAATCAGGCTAAGATATTACTAATTGAAAATATTAAACTAAACAAACTAATATTGTATAATAAAAAAATTAAAAACAAGAAGCACAAAATAATTTAAAATAATTAATTACTATTTATTAAGTAATTGATTAAATTAATAAAATATTTAACTACTAATTATTCACTAAGAAATAATAAATATAAATAATTATCAATTAAAATAATTTAAAAAAATACTAAGATAATACTTAATTTAATTATAAAAATATTTTGTGGCAAGACTATACTTTTTAAATATTCGAATACATTTAAAAAGTATAGGCACACGACTTGTAATATTAAAATATTCAATATAGCAGAGTGGCTATACTCTTTAAATATTAATATATTTTAATAATAGTATTCGAATATTTTAAAGTATAGCCGGGCGGCTATACTCTTTAAATAAGAGTAATTAGGTCTAACAATTAGGAAATGCATTAAACCATATCATATATGTGTTAGAAAATAACTTACATGTTCTAGTGCAATTAAATTCCAACATATCTACTGAACCCAAAAAGGTTGATGGATTTCATATAAGCCAAAGCGTGTTAAGCAATTTTTTAAATAATTGTAACCTTTTAATGTTGTGCAATTTTTTATGGGTTTGGATCCTTTACTCCGTTAGGATCTGCTTGCTTTTAGTATTTACATGTCGAAGCCTAATTGAGTCCTTAAAATTTCAAAAAATGGATTTTATAATCCAAACCCTAAACCTAAGTCACAACATGATTCAATAATATAAACTACTTGTTGGAGTTTGAATGAAATACATTGGAAAAGAAGAGAAAGTCTATATCCTTATAAGTGGGAATCTTCATACATTGGTAAATGTTTGTTTTTTTAGTTTTTTGAATGTGGAGGATGTTTGTTGATGTATCTATATCTGAGGTGTAGGTACGGTTTTGAGTGGGGGTGAGCTCGGTCTGGGTTGCTTCAAGTTTGATCCCAAATCATCCATCAAACCGGAGCTTTCGGTGTAGCAATTTCAGCACCGACGCCGAACCACCACCTCCGGTTAACCAGTTAAACGATCTGGATTGGCTCGATGTCGGGTTTAGGCTAAAGAAAAAGAAGAGAAGAAGGAAAAAATAAATAGGATAAGAAGAAAAGAGAAAAAAGAGATAGAGAGATGGAGACAGTCGAAGAAGAAGGAAAAAATCAATAAAAGAGAAAGAGATAGGTGGAGAGAAGAGGAAGAGAAGAACAAATGAAGATGAAGAAGAAGAAAGAAAAGAGACTGATGAGAGACTGAAACAAATGAAGAGAGAGGAAGAAGACGAAAAAAGAAAAAGATAAAAGATAGAGAGAGAGATGGAGACTGATGGAGAAGGATGCATGGTTTTTTTTGGTTTTTTTTGTTTTTTTGGCAGAGGCATGCGTGTTGGTGGTAGGACAAAGGTTTTTAGTTTAAATTTTTAGTTCTTGTATATTATATATTACTTATAATAAAATTTTATTTAGTATGTGTTAATACCACTGGTTTGGTTTGGTTAAACCGTGATTTTCAATATCCAACATAGAGCATCGAATCATAGAAAATGGTTTGGTTCGGTTTCAAACCAATGACACCAAAAAAGAAGAAAACAAACCAAACCAAACTGTACGGTTTGATTTGGGCAGTTTGACCCGAGTTTTGGTTTGTATGCCCACCCTTAATTTTGAGTAGGTGTACGTGGATAAGAGGCATGTTTATTGGCTTGGCTTAGTATACCTGGAACATGGATCCCAGTATCTACATTTAGAATTTATGCACTTATCCGCATTTCGCAAAATCTTCACCATCCTCATTATCTAACCATTTAAAACAAGACACATAATAAAACCTTGAAAATATAAACAAATAATAAATAAATAAGTTCAAATATTTAAAAATTCAATTTAAAACTAAAAAAATCAGATTAAAAAGTCACATAATCTAAAAATTAAAAAACCAAAAATGCAACCTCCCTGGCGCCCCTACCAACCCCAACACACCCAAGCAGTCATACCATCCACCATCTTTCTCCCGAACCCACCCCAACACCACCCAAGCCGTTATATATACCATTCACCATCTCTCTCTCTTTTAATAATCTTTCTTTATATTCTTCACAGCCCCCCTTTAATTACCCCTAACCTTTCGTGAAAAAACCTATAGCCTCCCTCCCACCCACCTCATGGAAAGGGAGTTAATTTTTCTTTTATGTTTTTTATTTAAACAAATAATTGTTAAATTTAAATAAATTTTATGATAAAAAGGAAAATTAAATACTTATATGAGTAATGCTACACTTACCACATTTTTATCCCACATTTCTATACCACATGATGTGGCATGTCCATATTATATGCCACATCAATTAAATCAATGAAGTGTATTTTAATTAAGACAATTAGAAAAACAAATACTTGAATAAATCATAAAAGAAAAGAAAATATTAAATAATTTTAATTGATGTGGCTGTCCACCTCAACTGCCACATAAGATGGTATAGAGATGTGGTATACAAATGTGGTAAGAGTAGCATTACCCTAAACCCTAGAATGGTCAAGATTTTGCGAAATGCGAGAAAATGCATAAATTCTAAATAAGGCTCAGGATCCCTGGAACATAGTCATAGGTATAATTTTGAGTGATTTGTGGATGAAGGCGGGATTTGTAGGATGTGTATGGTGTATTTACCTTTTGGGTTTTTATTATTATGACAAAAAT